CCGCTTGGATGATTAGAAGACGTTAGAAAATTCGTATAGCATTTCCAAAGATTGTGCTTTTGAGATGAACATGCTGTAAATATCACAAAGAAATTTTTGCCTGTTTCACGGATGGGATTGACGGAACACAGTGATTGATTAGCTTGAATAGAATATGTTCGATAGACATCTACCATGCGCCATCAGATCTTTATATGTTAGGAAGGATGTCGAAATAAACGCCCCTCTTAGGGGACTCCCTTAACGGCAGATTAAGACTATTAGGCCTGAAGCAGCGGGCCCTGTTGTCCAAAAGGAATACCAAACTTTGGATAAAAACTGAACTCTTTCGTTTTAGGCAAGGAATCGGCATTATACTTGAAAATATTTGGAAGGTTTTATGTTTACGCCCTCATTTCTCAAAACAAAGAATTACGTTCCTAGCTGTGATTGTTACTGAAGGCTATACAATTGTTATGTACCAGAGTTACTTTAATAAGTATCGTTTGAAACGTTTAGGAAAGTAAAATATATATTAAGGAGAAGAATAAGTCTTCTACGTATATCTTGCAGTGGGACGGTAACAGGCACAATGTACTCTATCGAGAAAGTCTTATATTGAGCGGACGTTTTGGCCATTCGATGAAGATCGATGCAATTGTTGTCCAAAATTGCTGCTCATGATTAACACTGTCGATTACTCCGCTTCGATGAGTTATCCGTATTATGTCATCGTGGAGACAGACGCATCAGATTGTGTTTCCACCGTTCACGTTCCCATGTGAGCTTACAAAAGGCTACCGAAGTTTAAATCAGATTCCTCCGAGGCACTTGCCCCAGGTTATTCTTCGTCCAGTGGGCTGATCAAATTTTGGCTCTTTCGCTTTCCTTTCTGAATGCATCCGCAACTCCTGCCCTAGCCATTGCAGCTGCGACATTTCAACGTGGAAAATCAACGGTTATACATCACGATTCCCTTGGTTATCTGCACAAGGGATCATATGGAGACGAGAGAGCCCAGCCATTCGTCTCGGAAAATCCATTTTTGTCCCTTGTAGCTGGGTTCTAAGTGCTTCA